TACAAAATTTCTTCTCTTTTGCATGCGATTTGGCTTTTTGCGACGAAAGATGCTACATTGATTCACTCTTGAGGTAAACCCACTTCCCCCATTTTCTGGGTTTTATTTCTTCTATTGGGATTTTTCTGTAAAACCAATCCAAGTGTTCGAAGCTCTTACGTAGTGGCAATTGGGTAAATTCTTATTCGTTCATTATTCTGTCTTCTTGCGATTCTGATTCTCTGATTCGCTTACCAATCAATCCTTCCATTGTTTTCTCCTTGTTTGTCCCCAATTTGTCTTCAAATTGTATTGTGAAGAAATCAGAAAAGCTTTGGTTTTTAGGCTTTTTGGTTTCCTTGAAAGTTAAAAACTGCTTATTTCTATGTTTTCGTTTAATTTTGCTACTCGCTGTATGTGTTTTCTTGTGGAGTGCCGTCTGTTCAATTAGAAAGGCAGATCCTTTAGGAAGCTTAAGTTTGAATACAATTTGGAGTTTTTAGTTCATCAAAGTCAAGCATGATTTCAGTCTGTACATGTGTATATCTCTAGTGTGTGTTGATAAAAGTACATACTCGCTTCATTTTCCAGTCTCCGGAAGTTTTGAATTTGGTTTCTGATGGCACCTAGACAAGTACCAAAGTCAAGGAAAGCTGGGTCTAGCAAGTTAAAGCCTGCTGGTTCTCCTGCCTCTTCAACAACCTCGTCCTCAAAACCTTATCCAGAGACATCTGTGGATAGCCATAACTCCCCTACTTCTTCATCTGCTCGAAGCAAGCCTCACTTACACAATACAGGGAGGGTATCATTGCATACTGCTTCGCAGTCCAAAGAAAATGTCACTGTGACAGTTCGTTTTCGTCCACTCAGGTAAAATGGCGATTCCTTGTATAGGATTCAAACACTGATTGATGCTTGTTCTCTGAATTTACATTGGTTTATGCTTGGCAATTGGCGTAGTCCAAGAGAAATCCGCCAAGGGGAGGAGATTGCATGGTATGCAGATGGGGAAACAATTGTGCGGAATGAGCATAATCAGTCAATAGCTTATGCCTATGGTTAGTCTTAACTGTTTGACTAGTGTCACAAGTTTCTGTAAGCATCATAAAATATTGTACGTAGTGCATTGTATCGCTCATGAATGCCAAATGAGGTATAAAAGTATTGTGGCATAAATTGACGTTTCATGCATTGTGGGTGAAGGCCTAAATTAAACTAGATGTCAAGTTCCTATATGCCATATTGTTTCTTGAAGTTCTATCCCTTTTTTCAGATCGTGTTTTTGGGCCTACAACGACAACACGCCATGTCTATGATGTTGCTGCTCAGCATGTCGTTAAAGGTGCTATGGAGGGGACCAATGGTATGGGAGAATTTTTGTTGGAATGAGAGAGTAAACACTTTTTATTGGCTGATCTAGTTAAGACTTTATTCTTGAAAGAGGAAGAGTTAAACTTATTTATATTATATCAAAGCTTACCCCGAGTACCAGTATCATGAATAGTTTGCTTGACCATTCATTTGGAACATGAGATTTTTGAGTTGGCAGACTGTATCTAGTGCTTGTTTTAGTATCTAGAACAGTTTTGAGTTAGACTTGTTTGCCAATTGATTAATTTAGTGACTTTGAGTGTTGCTCCAACCACAGGGACCATTTTTGCATACGGAGTGACAAGCAGTGGAAAAACTCACACCATGCATGTAAGATTCACTAATCATGATATTTCTTGTTTTTCATCTTCTTATAATAAAGAACCTATAAGTTACTCCCTTGTACAATGTACTGCAGTGTGTCATCCAAGGCATACTTCTCTGTCAGAGAGTCAATATATTGTTTTTGTATTGGATATTTGTTAGTCTCCTCCTTCTAGATAGGTTTGTTCTGTTGACCCTATAAAGCCTTTCTTTTACATGTAGTTAGCATATGGCTGCACTCTTTAGGTTAGTTCTCTGCTTACTTTGCGACCTAGTAGAACTTTTCATGTATGACACCCAAGATTAATACATGGTCCTGCCCTAATACTGAGTGATTTTACACCCGGTTTTATAGACCATGTTTACGTGTGACTTCAAGATGTGCATGGCATATGAACAATTTTATCTCACGAAGATAGTTTTGTTTGATTCAAATGTCAGGGTGACCAAAGATCTCCTGGTATCATACCATTAGCCGTGAAAGATGCTTTCAGCATTATACAAGAGGTACTTTTATGATGCTGATTGATCGAGTTCCCTGGCTTAAGTGCTAGCTACGTCATACATTTTTTTTTTTCTTGCAGACACCAAGGCGAGAATTTCTCCTACGTGTTTCCTACTTAGAAATTTATAATGAGGTGCATAACACTACCTGCTTTTATCCTCTCCATTCCCTATCGTCAACTTCACCAGTGGTGCTGACTGCTGAATGAAAGACAGATTCTGCTTTTGATTTTTCTTAATATCCTTAAGATTCATTTTACTTCAGGTTGTCAATGATTTACTGAACCCAGTAGGACAAAATTTGAGGATAAGAGAAGATGAGCAGGTACTTATTTAATTTCTGGATCCTCTTATTTACTTTTCTGTTGGTAACATGCATAGTGCTGATTTCACTGTCTCATAACATCTTTTTTGTGATTATAGTGCTCATCATAGAATCCCAAAATCTTGCACACCAATTATCATCAATATTTGAATGTTCTGGGTCACATTTCTTCAAGTATACTAGATTTTTAGTGGCTCCTCTTAAATATTGTATGGCCTAAGAAACTTAGAATTAACTTGACTACTTCTATTGTTTTGAGTGTCTTTCCATCTAAAGATTCTGCACTGAACCTTTCTTCATTGCCGATTATAGGGAACCTTTATTGAAGGGATTAAAGAAGAAGTTGTGTTATCCCCTGCTCATGCGCTTTCTCTTATAGCAGCTGGAGAAGGTAGGCGCTTCCATGTTTCTCCTTAATTGAAATAGCTTATTCTAGAACCAACAGAGACTGTCCCAGTCACTGTAATTTTCTTACGAATTTCTTCATCAAAAAGTATTTTCCATGACCAGTTAGGGGTTTTCCTTTTATGTGATATTCCAGTAGTTTTCCTTTCATTCTTAATCCTTCTCGTGTTTCGTGAATATAGTACTTTTTCTGCATTCGTTTGTGAATCATGCGAGTCATCTTGATAAAATTTTCGTTTGATGACAGAGCACCGACATATTGGATCCACATGTTTTAATTTGCTCAGCAGCCGGAGCCATACAATGTTTACCCTGGTATGTTTATTTTTTTTTAAAGCTTGAAGAGACTTATTGTGTTGTGCACTTGCTATATCATTGCTTTCCTCTCATCCAAAGACAATTGTGGTATCACTTCTCCAACTCTAAAAATTGTCATCCAAGCATATTTGGCATTGCCTCTTTTTGACTAAAATAAAGTTTTTCTATAGGGAATTTCACAGAAACTGAAATATATTCGAACCTTGTCAGTTTGGCTTTCTTTTCTTATTTACCAGTAAAGCTTATACCGTTTCTGAAAGATGTTAAAACTGATTTGGTTGCAGACCATAGAGAGTAGTCCCTTGGGTGACAATAATGAAGGTGCTGCTATACACCTCTCGCAGCTGGTATATAGCTTTCTTGTTATCTTGTGATGTTATGTTCGGTTATAGATTACTTTTTCTTCAACGCTGAAGGATATCCAACTCTGATAAAACTGTTTATTATTGCACTGTCTGAACACTTAAAAGGCAAACAAGTGATTAATTGTCCATAATTTTCCTCATATATGCAGAACCTCATTGACCTGGCAGGTTCCGAGAGCTCAAAGGCTGGAACCAGTGGTTTAAGGCGCAAGGAAGGGTCTTATATAAATAAAAGTTTGCTGACTTTAGGGACTGTGAGTTCTTGGTTATCTCTGTTTTCCCCAAGCAACAATACTTTTTCGAAGTTTATTTGAATTCAATAACTTCTTTGACATTTTTATTTGGAAATAGATCTTCCCATATATTGTTTTATTTTTTCCCTCTTTTTCAGCTTAAAACCTTGGTTGGGTTTTGCCTTGCAGTCACTCTGTTAAATATTCTCCCAGAAGCTGAAGTTGGATCGTTCTTTTGTAATTTTGTAGGTAATATCAAAGCTTACAGATAAGAAGGCTAGTCACGTACCATACAGGGACTCTAAATTAACCAGGCTGCTGCAGTCCTCATTGAGTGGTCATGGACGTGTATCTGTAAGTGTTGTTAAAGATCTGTTTTAGCTTCTTGTTGCAACAAATGTCATACACATCATGACCATAGGAAGCAGAACAGTTCCTTTGATCGACTAAACTGATTGATTGTTCCATCTGGACATTGTAGCTCATATGTACATTGACACCTGCATCAAGTAACTCCGAAGAAACACATAACACATTGAAATTTGCCCATCGTGCAAAGCATATCGAGATTCAAGCCGCGCAGAACAAGGTCATAGTTACATCTATCCTCTCAGCTCAGTGCTGGCATGCTTTGAAGGTTCTTTCTTGATTCTAACCCTAAAAATGTACAGATAATTGATGAGAAATCACTAATCAAGAAGTACCAACATGAGATTCTCCAACTCAAGGAGGAGTTGGAACAGCTTAGGAAAGGAATTAAACCAGTTTCTCAGCTAAAGGGTATTAGTGAAGATGATATTGTTCTCCTGAAACAGAAAGTATGTTTTTCTGTCTTTGATCCCTGCTTAAACGTTTGCAGCAGACTGATAATACTTTACTGTATCGCTTCAGTTTTGGAGACCTGAAATGTGCTTTCCGTGTTCTATTTTGCTGTGATAATAATAGCTAGAAGAAGAGGAAGATGCTAAAGCAGCTCTCTTGGGTCGAATCCAACGGCTGACAAAATTAATTCTCGTGTCTAGTAAAACTCCACAAACATCACGGGTTTCTTATCGTGTTGATCCTCGGAGGCGACACTCATTTGGAGAAGAAGAGGTAGAATCACTTTTTTAGCATGGAAAATGTGCACATCCTTTACCTGTCCTTTTTATCAGAATGGTTTAAATAAACGATATAAAAAATAAATCTTCTATTTCCCAGCAGCCTGTCTGCCATTACTATTTTTTGAGTGGCTGATCTTAGTTGATAACGCATGGCCAGCTTGCTTACCTACCATACAAGAGGCGGGACTTGATGGATGATGAGAACCTTGAATTTTATGTTTCTCGTGAAGGCAATACTGAGATTATGGATGATGCATTTAAAGAAGAAAAGAAGACCAGGAAGCATGGACTGTTGAATTGGTTGAAAATTAAGGTACACATTTGATTCTAGAATTTATGTGGCTTTAATTAACCTAATACTATAGTTAGTACTGTTGCAATCAGTGTCATGCACCTCATTCTCTCTTAGTGGATTTTCTCTAGCCACTTTTTATCTCATTACTGTTGTTCTATCAGAAAAAAGACAACAGTTTGGGGGAATCTAGCATCAGCGACAAATCGAGTGCGGTCAAGTCCAACAGTACACCGTCAACTCCTCAAGGGGAAGGCGGTAATTCTCATTCAGAATCAAGACATTCAGATGGCTCACCATTGAAGAATAAACTCTTAGAGCCTACGGAAGATAAAGAAGCTCACAGAGACAGTTTTCATGAGGCAGAGACACCTGAGGTACATTGAGATTTTCTCAGAGCTGATAGCCCATTCCATTTCCATCAATTTGTTTCTTGAGCTTTCTTTAAAACAAGTGATGCATGATTTTTGAGGCATTGTGTACTTGTTTGCAGACTAGAATAAAAATGATCGACCAGATGGAAATACTGAGGGAACAGCAAAAGATTTTAACTGAGGAGATGGCACTACAATCAAAGTCTATTAAACGGTTGTCAGAAGAGGCTGCCAAAGCCCCTCAAAATGAAGAAATTAAAGTAATCTTTGCGTTCTGTTCACGATCTTTATAAAATTTTCGATCCAATCTTCCACATATTTACCTTCCTGATTATCTTTGGATTTATGCAGGCGGAGATTAAAATCCTCAATGGCGACATCAAAGCAAAGAACGATCAGATTGCTACGTTGGGAAAACAAATTTTGGATTTTGTTATGGAATCACATGATGCATTGGAGAAATCTGATATCGTGCAGGTGGATTATTCTTTTGAAACATCATAATGGCCTTGTGCTTCTTGTTTTGGCATTTATCAATGATGTTGGATTTTCTCTCAAGTGATTTCTCTCTTATCTTCAGGCTGTTTCTGAAATGAGGGCTCAACTAAATGAGAAATGTTTTGAACTCGAGGTGCTGAAACTCTCTCTGTTTACACAGTACATCTATTGATTGATACTGCACCTAAGATGGTTTTGCTAAAACCTGTCTGCTACTATATTTCTTATTTAGCTCGATATGATCTGTTTGTCAGAAAGCCAAAAACGATATTAACAAAATTCCTCCATTGTTTCTACCCTTGCATTGGAGCTGTTTTGTTATTATTTTTATCAAATGAAGCTAAATGGATTTGTAAGGACTCATTTTTGTCACTTTTCATTTTATTTGCAGGTTAAGGCTGCAGATAATCGCATCATTCAGGAACAACTCAACGAAAAGGTTCAGATAATATCTCTCCACTTTTTCCAGTTCTAGCATATCTAAAAACCTTCGAAGCTAGTGTGCATACATGCCCCGAGAAATGTGTAACTGATCAACTCTTTTCTGTAGACATGTGTATGTGAAGCGTTGCAAGAAGAGGTTGCAAACCTAAAGCAGCAGCTCTCTGACGCCTTGGAACTGGGAGATATCAGCTCGGTCAAAAGTCACTTGCAACAATCGTCTGAAACCGCAAACAAAAATGAGGAAAAAGTCATTCAAGCGCAGGTGCAGTTCCCAGTATTTCACAACATTTGGTTATGTTTAAAAATCCTTCAGTGTCTTCCCATCTAGTTGATATAGGAAAATCCTAACATGTTATTCACTATCTGACTGAGAATATGACCAGGCATTTGAGATTGAGAAGCTTAAGCTGAAAGCTGCAGATCTAAGTGACTTGGCGGAACAACTAGAAATCCAAAATAAGAAACTTGCTGAAGAGAGTTCATATGCGAAAGGGCTTGCTTCAGCGGCTGCTGTTGAGCTGAAGGCATTGTCTGAGGAAGTTGCAAGACTTATGAATCAGAATGAGAGGCTAGCAGCTGATCTGGCAGGATCGCATAAGAGCTCCGTTACACCACGAGGCAAGACAGGAAACCTGAGGAATGGAAGGAAAGAGAGTCTTACGAAGCGGAAAGAGCAAGACAGCTTGTCGTTGGAATTGAAGAGAGAACTTAACATGGCCAAGGAACGTGGAATTTCGTTTGAAGCTGCTTTAGTTGAGAAAGTTCAAAAAGAAGCGGAGCTACAAAGAACAGTAGAAGAGTCAAAACAAAGAGAAGCATATCTAGAGAATGAACTTGCTAATATGTGGGTTCTTGTTGCCAAGTTGAGGAAATCTCAAGGAGCTACTTTAGATATATCTGACTCAATATCAGACATCGATCATCTTGGGACTTAAGTATGACTCGAGCTGCAAATAATCGATTAGAGATTCGTGATTTTGAGTTTGTACATTTTATTTGCAATTCTTGGTTGCATATGGGGCTTGACTTTTTGTGTGTGTTGATAATACTGTAAAGGAAGTACCCTGAAGGCAAGTCACTTTTGTGAAAACCAGTTCTTCAAATAACCTAACTTGATTTTGCTAGGGTCATCTTTACGATCTATACCCAATACACACAAAAGGCAAATCAAGTTCAGTATGATGAAGCCTGGTTGCGTAGAGTAATCTTCTGACTTGCATTTACGACATTTCGACATATCAGTTTTATCATTGCTGATTAGTCATAAACATAGACAAAATCCTATGAAGCAAATATTCAAATCCCTAACAAGTTTTACACTGAGATGACCTAAGCCTCTCTGTATATTACCCTTTTAAGCCTATACAATGTTCACTCTTACTACCATTCTCTTGTTATCTGCATCTTTCTTTCTATCAAACTCTCACTTTCTGTCTCCAAACAATCCCTATGCAAGAAAAGTCAAGCCTTTGGTGTACAAATGAGCATAAAGATGTCATTGCAGCTCATGATGCATATGAAAGAGCTAAACACATGAGTTGCCATAAGTCATAAAACAGCAACCACATGAGCTGCTTCTTAAGATTTCTACAACATTCAGATTGAAACTTTGGAAGTGCTTCTCATCAAATTTCATTATGTTTCATCTGAACCACCACTAACTCACTACAGAATCAAAGCCATAAATTACTTAAAGAAAACTCAAAGCTTGAAACTTTGAAAGTGTATCTCATCAAATTTCATCTAAAACAGCCACTAGATCAGCAATGAGTTATCGAATCAGTTACTCAGTTCATTACAATGACTTAAACCCACCAAAATACACAGGAACACTTCAAATCAGACATGATCAATTCGTCTTTGGATCGGGCATTGGGAACAATCCAGCAGCTCCTCTAGGCGGAGAAAACCCTAAAAACTTCTGCAGATTGGTTCTTATACTAATTGAACACAGCAGATAAAGAAAAGCCATGGAACAATCCGTAGAATCTTCACCTTTCAACCCCCTATGACTCATCTTCCTCACAATCGTAATCGGATGAAACGGAAGCTTCGCGACGACTTTCCCTTCGAAGAGCGAATTCAACAATCCGAAGACGACGAAGAGAACCAAAGCCACAACGGCGCCCGATTTAAACTTGAAGAGAGACAGATCTCGGCTCGATTCCTTTAAGCTGGTTTCAACGCGATCGATTTTCTTCGTTTTTGATTTCTTGTTGGTTAGCTTCGAGGAAGGATTATCAGTCTTCATGGTCTCGAGCTTCTTAGAGGCTTTGTCGATGGAGGATCTTAAGGATTTGTAGGAGTTTGTGCGATAGATTAGGATCCATGAGATTCCTTCGCAGATCAACGCCGTGCAGAAGGAGATTCCGACGACGGTGAGACTATCGGCGTACTTGAAAGAGGCGAAGAGTGGTATTGCAGTCGCCATTTGCGCAAAGAGTCAGAACTTGATCTCAAGCTCAGAGATTTTTGGTCACGATTTTTTTTGTTTTTTCTGGAAGCAACTCAATAAATATCACAATTTTTTACTAATGTTTTTAAAATTATCGGTACACAGTATTTGGTTTAAAGGCAGTCTATTTTGAGACGGTGTTCACTCCGATCCCAATTTTTTTTTCTATCCGTTTAATATAGTTTAGTTTTTTTTTTTAACACTTTATTTTATTGAAACTCATTTAGAACATATTACATCATAAAAGAAGTTGAACGGATGAAATACAAAGAAAAACTAATGGTCTTTTCCGCATCAAAAATTTAGTAAATACAAACATCTTTGATGACACATTAGCGATACCAAAACAGTCTTGTTTCGAATCCAAAGTAAACAATTAGGTGTTTCCGTATCCACAATAACAGTCAGACTTCTAATATCTTTTACGATAACACGACAACAATTCTCCTTTTTAGATAACTCTCCTTCTTAGGTTGTCTTCGTCAATTTTGTTGTGAGATAGTTTTGGTGAAGCCACCATTAAACAAATCTGAACTGCATAACTTAAATCAGAATGATAAACAGATTCAAAGAGTCGAACCACTTCGACTTCGATACTGAAATTAGAAAAAACTGGCAAGAGATCGAAACCAACGAGATAATCTAAAAAACCACCATAACCGACCGGAGACGTAGCCGCAACCATCATCCAAAATGGCAGCTGCAACCACTAGGGAAAGATCCAACAACATCTACGAAACTAGATCTAGCAAATAGAAAGAAGAAGCGTTTTGTCACTGATGCAAACCCGTCGACTCCTAGGTACCGGTGCTTCCCCTTTTGTTTGATCTACCACCATTGAGGTTAAAGAGAAAAGTCCTCCTCTTTTCGAAATTTCCAACAACCCAAAACGATGGATCTAATTCAGAAAAGAATTGAAGAAAACTAAGTGAATCGAGAGCAAACAAGCGGGAAAGACCGGCGACCGACGCTAGATGAGCCACCGGTCATCGGTGTACACATAAACTAATGACGGCTGTTTCTCAAGGGAGAGAGACGAGAGAGAAAACATAGAAAAATTTATTTTAGTGATTATGATCGATGCGATATTCGAATTATTAACTGTTTGAATATTTAAAATTTTAAAATTATCATTAAAAAAAAATGAATTACTTATACTTATCGTGATGATAGATTTTTATCCAAATTCGTGAGAGTTTGAATAGTATTTTATAGTTCAAAAAATATATTTCTTAATATCCACTATTTTTTTTTCAAAACTTAGAGAGTCACTCCATGAGCATCTACGCATTAAAGTAAAAAAAAAATGAAAATTTTGAAAAGAAAGTGAAAAAGGGTTCTTCTTATTTCTAGAGACATTTGTTTATCTCCAAGTGGTTCATATTTTACCTTTTTAAATAAAATTAAAATATATAACTAAATTATATTAAAATATTAAAATTATATTGTTGAGAAACTCAAAGGAGTCTCTCATTGTTGAGGGTGCTCTTAGAGCATTTTTGAGTAAATGATATAATCATAAGCATTTTTGAAATTTTTTTAGAATGGTAGCATTTTAGAAAAATAATATTTCAAAAATAGTATTTTCCAAAAAATTTTTTACATAATCATGTTATTGGCATAAATATTTCTAAAGTGTTCTGAAAAGATGTTACCACAAGTTGTTAAATATATTGTTAACTATGTTGCTCAATATATTTAACAATGTGCTCAATATAGTCAACAAATATAGAGTTAACTATGTTTATAAATAAGTTGATTATATTCATAAATGTTTGCTAGATTTAAAAACAAATGTTGAATAGAAACTGAGTTTTTTCAATTGTTCGTGTAATGTTGAGATGCTTAAAACAATTTTTTTTTTTTGGGATTTTAAATGCTAGTTAGTTAACTATATTTGGCAATCTATAAAAATTGAGAAATTTTAGAAAATGCCACTTTTCAATTGCCACTTTACAAAAATGCCACATTTTTGAAATTTTTACAAAAATGCCACTTTTTCAAAATTATTTTTTCT